GTGTTCCTGAGGTGGGATCTCTGCACCCGCCACACCGCCCTCCCTAGAAGCCCCCCTCTCTAGAAACACATGCATGCAAGCCTCTCATTGAAGTTGCTTGGAACACATGCTGTTACAAAGGCACGATGCAACCTTAAGAGCTAAATGAAAGTCGTGATTTTTCTGTGTGTCTTCTTTTTTTCCAGAAAGTTCTGTAAAAAGTAAATCCAGAAATAAGATTTTCCTTCATCATACGCCCACTTCACAGACTAAAACAACCTGTTCTGTGGCTAATCAAACCTAAGAATATCTTTAAGCAAGCAAACAGCAATTCAGTGTCACAACAGTTGAAAACAAACAAGCAAAGATTTGAGAGTGTCCTTATGGCACCTTCCTACTGTCCCCCCTTACATTTTACTTAGTGATTCTGACCACTTCCTGGTAGCCAAAAAGTTCCATTTAATCCTCCCAGGTGCAGCATCATGCAAATGATGCCATTTAAAAACAAAATAAAAATTTTATTTTTCTGCTTAAGTTCCACTGACACAGATGTATTCTCAGAAGCACAACAGATTTTATGACCATTGTGCTTCTGAAGGAGACAGACGCAGGTGATTAATTTGTTTGGGCTGTGATCCTGTCCTGGTATCACCGGTTCTCTTTCCAGGTTCAGGGGCCCATGGTAGCAAAACGTCATATAATTTCAGGGCTCTCATTCTGGAGGATTCAGTGAGCACTGCAGTCACCTGTTACTAGTAGTCTTCTGATCTAAATCAGAGGGGCCACCAGCCAGGCATTTTTGGGATCTTTGTCCTAGAGTCCAGCTGTGGCATGGCTCTAGGGCAGGCAGGTTAGGAGCAGTCTCAGAATCAGACAGAGACTCAGAATTACAGTTTGCTTTTTGATTCCAGAGACACATACCTTGCACCAGTCCTAGACCACTGGTGGAGTGCAGCAGTGCTGACAAGTATGTTGGGGGCTGAATGCAAGGCAGTGGTGACAAGTAGTTTGGGGGCTGAAGCCAAGCCTCCATCCATTTCCCCAACCCTTCCTGCCCATGTGATATAAAATCACAGCTGGGTCACCTAGTACATCCCCCTGCACAAGTGCAGAATCTACTGTTTGTAAGACAACTCAAACAAATGCATTTGAAGCCACTTTTTAAACCCCCCAATGGAAGATATTCCCAAACTTCCCTGAGTGGCTTGTTCCATTACCCTACTGTTTATACAGTTTTAAAGGTTTTTTTTTTCCTCCCATGTTTTTAATCTAAATCAGTTTAAACTACTGCCTTCTCCTACCATCTGTGATAAAGAAGAACAATTGTTCTCCCTTTTCTTTACAGCAGACTCAAATATTTGAAAAATGTGAACACATCCCCCATTTAAACTTCTTTTCTCCAGACTAACCCCTTCATCATCATTTCTGCTCACTTCTAATCCTCTCCAGTTTCTCTAATCTGTGGGGGGCTATCAAGGAATTCCATAGAGTTTCTCCCTCACTTTCCACATGTGGGATGGGTAGCTGACCTTGTGGAGCAAGAGGACCTTCTGACCCCTTACTCCCCTGTGCACCTGTGTGATACAGGCCATTATCTGGCCCTTAATCAGTCAGAACTCAGGTTGGTTGTTCACTGGGGCTACAGCATGTACTGGCTATTCCTCCAGGCTTTTACCATGTTTCTTCTTGATGCCTCTTACTATTGTTTTCATCGGGAGATAGAATCTCACATTGAGCTTCCATTGAAATGACCATCGGAGCCCAGATATGGCCAGGATTGAGTGTCCCCAGCTGAAGTCTTGTGTAAGTTTGGTGTCTTTGAATCTGGGTGTTTTTATTTTAAAAACTGTTACTGAAGATAAGAGGCCTCTGTGTTTGGAACAGGAATAGCTCTGCATATGAGGAACAGGTTAATATAGGATTCACTGTCCACAAGGAAATCATCTGTGTCACTGAGAAAAGTCCAAGGAGATTCCCAAATGGGTCTATATCATCAGTTTTAGCAGTTTTAGCTGTGGCTGAAAAGGGAGCTGGAATGGCTGAAAAGAGGAATCCCTTTATGTGACCAGTTGCATCCCCAGGTTAGAG